AATCAAATAACATCTTTGTAACGAGTGTTTATCGTAAAAAGACCCATACTAACAGATACTTGAACTTTCAATCAAATCATCAGAAAAGTATTAAGAAAGGAATAATCAAATCACTCCATGATAGAGCCAAATCAATATCATCTGACCAACAAATTTTCAATAACGAAGTCCACCACATTAAAAATGTTCTCCAACTCAATTCTTATCCAAAGAATTTTGTCGATAGGACGATTCATCGAATTGAAAACAAACAGGGTCAACCACAACAAAATCAACCATCAATAACGACAAATATAATACCATACATTCCCGGCATATCTGAAAAAATAAAACGTGTTGGTGATAAATTTCAAGTGAAAACTGTGTTCAAAACTGAAAATACAATGAGATCAATTCTAACTCAAACAAAGCCGAAAAATGGAGAACAATTGTCAAAAAATTGTATTTACAGTATACCTTGTGTTTGTGGAAAGTTTTATACAGGTGAAACCAAGAGACCTCTTTCAGTAAAGACGAAGGAACATAAGTACAATATAAAGAAAAGAAACATCGATAAATCGAAACTAGCTGAACATATCCTTACTGAAGACGGACAACATATGGCAGAGTGGAATAATATTAAAATTATTGGAAAAGAAGATAACAACCAGAAAAGAAAAATCAAGGAATCTGCTTGCATTCTTCTGAACGGAGACAATAACATTGCTTCTTGTTCAGTTGATATAGACAGAACATGGTATTCACTACTAAAATCTGAACATGAAAATGGTAAATTCAAGATCAATTAATGAAAACATCCTGTAACTCATTTGATTGCCAACGTCACCAATTGTCATTGAAAACTGATAAGCTTCAAGACATTATACGACTTCGCTATTGAAATAATCTCTTCTTATGTTGAAAACGGGAGCAGAACCGGTCCCGAAACGTCCAAAGATAAGTGAAAATTTGATATTTTTTCTATATACCTTTATTTCCCTTCTCCAAAAATTTTTTCAATACAAATTGTCACTGACAAGCTAGTGAATTTTTCTTTTAGGCTCTCTGATAGGAAAATTCTTTAAACGCAGTGACATTTTGGGGCAAATCATCTGATTTGTCCTTACTACACGTATATTGAAATAATATTCATATTTTTATTTTATAGAAACGAGGAGAGAAAATCCCAAAAAATTTGGAATAATGAATATACCACCTCCTCGATTAACCTACAGACAGTATTTGTTCTATACTGTGGAGTATCTTTCATATGGAATGCCAAACTATTCCTAATGTTTTGGATCCTTCGTTATCAGATATCACATACTGAGAAATGCTAGGCGACTCGTTTGACATTGCGAATTCAAGTACGCGCGGCTCATTTGAAATTCACCGTCTCAGAGTGAAACCGTCACTTGATAAGATAGAGCTCACTTGCTCGATCAACAGAGCTGCTGATCCTAAGTCATTCGCACCTGATATCCAATCGTCCATGTAAAAATATCGTTTTTTTTACTGACTCTACTGAAAATCGATCTTCGTTTTCGATTGAGAGTTCTTTCAAACACCGTGTTGCCAAAAATGACACTAGATCATGTATTATCATCAAGTAACCAAATAGGGTATCTAGAATAATACTATCGAATTCATTGAACAGAATAACTTGAATAAGTCACTGTGATATTTGATGATAAAATACCTATCACTTACTATACTGAAAGGTTTGTACTGAAGTTAATTATGGAAACATCCTATTTGCTCGGTTACTATACGGTATTATTTCATGTACTGCATCTCAGCCCGTAAAATATTCTTGCCAACAATATCCCCATCAACGCCTTGATTGCCTTGAGAGATCTAAGCGACCTCGCAAGCATCTCCAACAATAGTTTTGTATTGTGCTCCTAGTGTTATAATAGTTTATTCTGTTGATAATTTGTAAACTCTGTCTCCTATTATTGTGCCTACCAGAAAGTGTGAAATCGTCCCCATTCATGAATTTCCAAGTGATATTCCGTTGCAACATAAGTGGATACATTCTATATTGAGTGTTTCGACAAAGGATCAATATACAAGTGAGAAAATCAGTGTCCTGATCAAAAGCTAATAATCGATACTACTACTAATAATACTACTACCGCAACCGCTGAGTGAGGCTCAACTCATTTACGATTTTCAAGGTTATGTCGGTTTGACAGGAGAACAATTGAAATAAGTGTTTCCTCGAGTTGACCGTATGGCGGTACTAGTATCGGCCACAGATTCCTATAGGTGAATTTCTTGTTTGAGCAGACCAGATACTCCAGCTCACTAGATTTTTCTTCCATATTTAGCAGACAATGTACCAGTATATCATCTGATGAAGCTACTGTGTTAGCGAAACATGTCGTGTGTTTGAGAATTCTGTGGAAATCTTATCGTTTGTGAAGTTTTTACATTTGCCATGGATTTCCATCAAGTAACGGCCGAGTCAATTCGAAAAAAGACATTAGAGAGTTGAAGTGTTGTCATGAACGTTAACGTTAATGTAGAAATTGACAGCTACGCATGCGCATTTTCCAATTCTTCACGTTTGCGTTGTTAGTGGGCTTACGGGTGTACGTTATCTCACGTTCCTTCACGTATACCTTAAATATCAACGTACTGAACGTACGTTAACCAAACTATACTCAAAATATGCCGATGAGTCAAAATTATCAAATTCGGGATCACCAACGAGTTCTGCATCAAAGAGTCCTCTAATTTTGACAGGAATAAATGTTCGAATCTAAACACACAACCAAAAATGACCAATACAAACCGAAAACAAAATGTATTATTACGTTATGATGACAGTGACGACCAAAGTGGCGACTTCAACTCAATTTAACGACAATACGTAAACGTTATTTTTCGTACGTTAACGTCTACGCGGAGGTCTACGTACAGTGATTACTTCAACTCTCTATTAATTCGTAAATGCCTCGGTTTTGATCCATTGGGGTGTTTCTCTTTGAATAAATGGAATTCGCAAAATCGCAACGCTGTTGCCAAATGTAACCAACTTCGTTTTATTTCGTATGAAATCGTATGACGATAGCGAGAGCATAACGTAGCGTAACGAAACTTGATACAGAGTAGGTTGAAACCTTGTTGAAACTCTGTAGTTGAAACCAACTCTTCGCTTTCGATATGCTTCTGCTTTGTCCCACTGCAGAATTTGGAATAAAGGTGCAGTTTTGAAAATGGCGGGAAAATTGAATATGCATGGTTTAAAAACAAAAAATGACTGGCAATCTAATCATCATAATCAAGTATAGTGATGAAAATTTGAAGGTTTCAAGGAAATAAGAGAGATTACTTCTCAGAATTCATATTTTTTTTTTTTAGTGTTTTGCACTATAATTCAATGATGAGGTACTTATTAAAAAAACTGCTCAAAATTATTTCCATGAAACATTTACTTTGTTCTTAATTGAAGTCAAGAATGAATTTCAGGATGCTGACAAGTTCTAAAAGAAGACAAACAAATTTATTATATTATTTCGTATTCCATTGGGAATGCACCAGCTCACATTTTGGAGAGAACTAACGTAGTGCGGGTGCAAAACTGGTGCAAAACCAGTGCACCACCAGGTTTACGAATAGAATTCGCTATGAGATTCACTGAAATACATTCTTTCTGTATAACAAAAAGATCCAAGATGGTTAGTAGCTCAGTGGTCACTTTGGAGACCTGCAGAACATCTCTTTCCAAAGATTCGTTCATTCAACGAAAAACGAGGCTCTGGAACACATTGCCAAGGGAGGTGTTCCCCGATGCATATAACCTCCAGAAATCTAAGGAGAACATCAATTCCTACCTTATTTTCCTTGGTTCTCACGATGTTCTCTGAACATCATAGGATATCCCTTTTCGTGGGAACGAGAACATTAAAAAAAAATCATGTGGTCCCGTTTTTCAAATCCCACATGGAACATGGAATAGTTTTTGTTTTTATTTATTTCTCAATCATTTTTTTGCATCAGATTTTTGTATCACTAATCGCTTAGTCTGTTTCGGTTGAGTATAGTATACATGACTTTTATCATATTCAACTCTTTTCAACTCTAGTTTTTCCTTCTTCCATTGTTAGTTCACAAGATTTTTTTGATCAGGCTTTTGTTCCACTAATAGGTTACTGTGTTTGTGTGAGTAAATCCATTTTTTCTGTGACGGGAAAAAAGTTTGGCATTTCATCTCTGTTGGCAGGTTATAAAATGCCACTTTTCATAAATTACTTTTTTCCCGTGGGAAAAAAGTAACTACTTTTTTTTCCGGATATATATCACATATATAAACACTGTTGATGGCTTTTGATGTGCTATAATTCCGAAAAATGAGTTAATAATACCGTCTCCGAGAAAGAACCAAAAGAACTGCGTCCTTTTATCTTCCATTCGACTTCGCGGTTACGTATATTACTGAACAACCACTAAATTCGCAATTTTTTGAAATCAAATCATGGAATTAGACTGACAGAAGTGACATCAGATATTTCATTACTTCAAAAGAATGATAAAGATGCCTACAACGCAGGTGTCCCTACTGTTAGAAACTTAAAATTTCACGTCGATAATTTTCAGATTTCAAAATAATGTATTATCTTCTCAATATTGATTCGTCCTTTCTTCTTTCACATAAAAAAATAGTGTATTATACACGGGAAAAATATTAGATTTTAGCTCACGGTTTTTTGTCTCCCTCCGCTACGCGTCGGGAGACAACACAACCTGGAGCTAAAATCTACAACTTTTTTCCCTTGTATAATAAATAACTATTTTTGTAGAATTTTTCCTCCTATAAATTGATAATTTCATTTGTGTAGTCTGCCAAAGGGTCGGCAGTCTAAATAAAAGGATAGATTGCCGACTGGTCGACAGCTGATACACTCCCTCCACATTTTGACAACAATGACAATACACCAGGCATCTTCTGTCATTCCTGTCACTCCTGTCAGTTGCAGTTTATGTTTTGTCAATTTTGTCAGTGTTTTTGATTTGTTGGTATGTGGCTATCTTATTGCCATTCATTACCTGCTGATAGAAGATTTGCATATTAATTTATTTTCGTAAATTTCTGCTCAAATTATTGAAGCGAAGTAATTGCGCACAGAAAACGGAATGGCTGCTTCAATAAGAAGTGTTCGTAAGTTTGGAAGCGTTTTTTCAACGTTAAGGGTGACGTCTTCAGCCTCAAGAACCTATTTTACCTACGTAAATGAGCCTTCGCAGCCTATCAAAGGGAAAGAGCCGAAGTGGACCACAGCAGAAGATGCATTTCAAGATCTCAAATCAGGTGAGATCTATTTGAGTTTATCTACAATTTTATCCAGCCTTGATATAATAGGTATTTCATTGTCATCCTTTAGCCTCCTTTTAAAGTGAACTTTGAACTGATTCGCTTGGTTCATTAGTTATAATTCCATTTATATTTTGAAATAGCTCAATCTACTCAGTTATGCTGTTTATTATCAATATTTCTTCATTTTTTCAATGGGTTCCAATACTCTTTGAATTATTTTATGAGAAATGAGAAGTGAAAACACAAAAATATTCACAGGACCTTATAAAAACCTGAGTACATTATTTCATACAAAACAAACCGGTAAAACTGCACTTATCATGTGATGGTTTTTTTTTCAAAAATTTGTTTTGGTGCTTACGTATTTTTGTCTGAAAAACAGGAATTTGATAATGAAAATGTGAACAAACCACTATTTATCCAGATGTTTCAAGTAAAAATTTGAAATTTCGGCTTCTTTTTTCCCCTGTGTTTGATATGCATTTACAGCTACTTGCTCTTCTTATTTTGTCATTGGACACTTTGTTAGAGTTTTTGGTTGTTGACAGGCTTGATCAACTGGTCATGAGTCACTTGTATACAAAAACCTTTAAAATCATAAACTCCACTGATCATTTGATAATATACCAAAAATAACACATTACCTGGCATCTTAAAAACCAGATATATTAGGAATGATGTATATGAATCATTGAATGCCTTGAGACAGATTTTGTTGAATGAAATAATAATCTTGAACTGTATATATCAGGAATAATACACTCAAGTGAATCATCCAATGATGTATAGCTATTTTTGTTGAAATAAAAGCAGTTTGAGTCACTCAATTTTGAAGACTCTAGATGCCCTTTTCCATATCTGAGTAATTTGATTGTTTTGAGGTTATATTTTATACCCTTGAACCGCATCCACCATCAAGAAGCCCAGCAAAGTGGTCTTGGATCAGTTCTGTCAATGTGATCATCATTCAGAAACCCTGCCGTTGAAATGTGGTCCAAGTTGTGGTCACTGGTCGGCAATCGAAAACTCAGCTTTTATATACTCACGATGTACAGGGTGGGCAAAATTGGGCGTTTTCTCCATAACTAAAGGAGTTATCGAAAAACCAATATACATGTTATGGGTTCGATATTAGAGAAACCTTAAATGGCGCATTCGGAATTTTGATATCTTCATTCGTTTCAGAGATACAGGGGGAAATTGAAAAATTGTCGATTTCGTTTTTATTTTCTGAGTGCTTGATGGTAGGAGATATTGAAAATTTTCGAAAGTTTATTCATATAGTATGATGTGAACAATCCATTGGCACTATTAGAAATTTTATACTGGGTGACATTAAAAAGATATGTCATCCAACTGGGCATCCAATTATATTTTTTCTTATATTTTGGCAAAGTTAGATAGTCCCAGGCGTTTCAATTTCGAATATATACAGGGTGGGGCATCGTATACGACATGGTCTTTATGTGGAGAACCATACAATATTTCAGAATTCTTTTCAACTGGCTGGATAGAGAATTTATTCATGTACAATTTTAAATTATTTCGAGATATACAGGGTGTTCCATAAAAAAGATACATATCGAAGTTATATTTTTTTAAATGGAACACCCTATATTTTTGTCTTTTTCGTATTCCGCAGCACAAATGGAGGTGAGTTTCTTCAATGTTCCCTATACTTATCATTTTTCGTTTTCGAAATATTTGAAGAATTGGTGAATTGTATGGTACATGAAGATAATTTTTATTTGGCTCTGTAAATAATTTCGAACCTTCATAATAGCTTCAATTGTTTGTATGTCAAAATTCATCCAGGGTGATAACAAAATGATGGTTGGAAACTTACAATTTATGAAGTTGAAAAACTTTATTTCAAATGGCACACCCTGTAGTTGGTTACATATTCTGACGTAGAATTTGACTTCGTTTCGACCTGTATAATGGTTCCCTATAGCTAAACCCAATACATTTCTAGAAATTGGCGATTTTATTCAAAACGGGGATTATAATTTCTCATACTCATTCTCAAGTCGTTGACATTTGGACATGTCGAAAATATATCTGGTGGTTATCGTAATAACAGTCCTTAAAAAAAATAACACAAGAAAAATAGTTATTTAACCAACTAGTGTATTAATGAGGACGATTAATGATCGAGATATTTTAACGTGCGAGCGAAGCGAGCGCGTTAATGTTCGAGATAATTAATCGCCTTTTAATATACAAGTTGGTTACAAAATTTTTCCGTCGACTATATTTCTCATTTCTCCTGCAATGAAGAAAACTTCGTTCGCGAATTCATCATCCATCTGGAAACTGCTAAGAATCACCCAGTAGCCTTGTTACTGACATTAGTGTCATTTGACATTTGTCGAAATGATCAACATAGGAAATAAATTCCTTGTGTTAGAAAACAGGGATTAAAATCGTGTCAGAAACTTGGAAAGGCGAACCCGTTAACGGAAAATCGTCGATGAAATCCATATTTTCGATTTAAATGCAGATTCCGCTAATTATAGCATAAACAATGAATGCACGCGGTGTATGTTTGGTTGCCTATAAAACAATCGTACATTAATAGACAAATCGTTCATTAATAGGGGTCATTAATGAACGATTTCTTATACATTAAACTTAGTCGTTAATACGAGGTCGACGGAAAAAACTTTTAATGAACGAATAAATTGAAAACTCCTGGAAATCACCCATTCTCAAAGTGGTGCAATTATTTCAAAGGAAACTGACTTGGAGATTTTTGTTTGTTTTCTTCGAATAAATTAAAGTAAATGCTCAAAATGACCTCCATTTTCTTCTATACACAAACGTAACCTTTTTTCGAAGGATCTTTTAACATTTAATAACATTTGTGGATTCACGGTTTGAAAAGCAGCTGTTATTCTCTCCTTCATATTTTCAGCTGTTGTTGGCTGGGTGTGGTAAACAATATTTTTCATTTATCCCCATAAAAAAAATCGATACAGGTCGAATCCGGGGACCTCGGCGGCCAATTTTGCGAACCGCTTCTCCCTATCCATCTATTTGGGAAACGTGTGTCTAGAAATTCCCTGACATTCCGTTGGAAATGTGCTGGAGCTCCATCCAATTGTAACCACATATGCTGTCTGATATTCAAAGGCACATTTTCAAGAAGTTCAGGTAGGTTATGGCGTAAAAATCTGAGGAATTTCTGGGACCCAAGAATTCCCCCCCACACGTTAACAGACCATCTATGTTGATGATCAACTGTGCGGAAGAAATGAAGATTCTCATCACTATAATAATGGAAATCATGTCTGTTTACTAGGCCGTTGTTATGAAAAGTTGATTCATCAGAAAACAAAACTAGATCAATAAAGTGTTCATCTTCACCTAATCCGTCCAAAACCCAAACACAAAAATGAACTCGGCGATGAAAATCCATTTCATAAAGTTCCTTGTGCATCTGGATATGGTATGGATGGAATTTTTATTTTCTTAATATTCTTGATATGCTTCGTCTGCTGATACCTGTTTCTCTTTGAATTTCGCGTTGGCTAGTATGAGGGTCTTCTATGACAGATCCAACCACGAGAAACTCATTCACTTCTTCGGATGAGTGAGGTCTGGATATTTTTGAGCGTATACTCTCGACGCAAAAAGGCAATTTTCATGACACTCGCCAATTATCAGAAGCATATTGTTTCCATAGGATAAGTCTTCATTTTGATTAATTCGCCAGTGAAACTTCTCAAAATTGCATTTTCAAACCAAACGTTTTCGAACTGTCAGTTGACAATTAACAAACAAATTTCGAAGAAAGTAATAATAGGTAAAAAGTTAACTGATGGTAGGGAACCATGATACAGGTCGGAAGGAAATTAAATTCTACGTCAGAATTTGTAACTAACTACAGGGTGAGCCGTTTGAAATAACAAAGTTTTTCAACTTCATAAATTGTAAGTTTCCTACCATCATTTTGTTATCACCCTGTATGAATTTTGACATTGAAATGTAAATGAAGGTATATTTCTAATCTTTCTCCAAACAATCCAAGCTATTACGAAGGTTCAAAATTATTTACAGAGCCAAATAAAAATTATCTTTATGTACCATAAAATTCACCAATTCTTCAAATATTTCTACAACGAAAAATGATAGGTATAGGAAACATTGGATAAACTCACCTTCATTTGTGCTGCGGAATCCGAAAAAGACAAAAAATATAGGGTACCTTTTCCTTCCACAACTTCAGAAATATTCACAACAGTATATTCAGTGTCACATATTTTTCATCGTTGCACACTCTGTATATATCAACCAAGGGATGAAAATAAATATCAATAAAAATTAATTTCAAATATTTTATTTCCAGACAAATGAATATTTGATAAGAAAAAAAAAGGAAATTATTCGATTTGATATCATTGTTATCAACACATCCAAACTATTTAAGATACAGAAATAAGACAAATAATAATTTACCTAATTATGAAATTAGTAGGTGACGTTGAAAAATAGAGCTTTATGGAAGATGTTCAAATTTAAGATAAAGAAGCCAACATTTGTTTCTTATGGAACACCCCGTATATTGCGGCAGGGTTGGATAGTCCCAGACTTTTCAATTTCAAATATATATCTTCCACAACTTCTGGAATAATTAAAAATATATAAAGGCATACTGAAAGGAATGGGTAACCTATCATGTTCAGGCATTCTGCCACAAAATATTATGATTGATAATGTTCCTATCAATATTATGTATCGAATTATTGTAATGTCATTGGACTTCAATGCAAACATATTATATTCTCATGATGATTTTGTCACGAGCCAGCTATGCCTATATGATATACCTTTGCATAATAATATACAGGGTGTTTCATTACTAATTGGAAATATTTCAACCATAGAATCCCGAACTCAAAATATGAAGATTTAACCCAAATCACCTGGATACAATATGTCTCCTGTCTGAGTAACAGGGTGTTTTATTAAAAAATTTTGAAATGTTTTTT